ATTTCAGGGTCATTCAAGTGAAATCGAAGCATTTCGAGTGAAAACCGGTCCACTCGCCTTGCCAGCACCATACCATCTTCTGCCGAACACTCCTTATTTCCGTAAAGCCGTTATTATCCCTCCACCCGTCAGGTGAGCACTAGCGCCTCTCTTCAACTCACCTACAAGTAGTTCATGGTTGCTAGACGTTCGACCTATACTCACATCAGTTATTTTTCGAGGAGCAGTTTGGATTTCCTCAAGACTCGTTTGTTCTTCGACATTTCTTCTCGAACCAATATCCCTTTGCTATGATCGGACATTCGGTCTACAGGATATTTAGCCTGGCTGATATGCACATATCCAGTGATACGGGAAGTCATGAGCAAGTAAGCATAATATGAGTGTAAGCCGTAAACAGTTTCCTTAAGTACATTGGAAAAATTTGATTAGCTGTCAGATCGTGTTTTCTTGATTGCATATGGCTAACAGCACATAAAGCTGAACTATTCCAAAGAATCCATTGGTATGCGAACCGAACGGGATCAGCGATAAGATCGTTATTGTTCATGGTCATTTATAATGTTTGCAGAGGTCCGACCGTAATCAGGCATCCACCACTAGCGATCGCAATAGTGAATCGGTATGTGGCGAGTATGATCGCAGATGATAGAGAGCGTTTTGGAGGTATCATGAATTTCAATGAATATTGTAACATAAATGTTGAGAATCGAGCAAAACTCAATGAATGTCAACAGCCGCCGAGCAGTCCTGCTGCCGCCGCACTCTATCCGAACGGCAACGATAACAACGGCATGATCTCGACGGGCTGCATCACTAATCAATCACCCTATCAATATCTATCGAACTCAGATTATTATCCGAACTTCAATCTCCACCAATCGACCAATGCATATTTCGCGTCAAGTCTGGTAAAAGCTCCAAACGAACACTGTGATCGTGATGTTACGCAATCCCAGAATGACTTCGGCCTTAATGGATTCAGCGTGCTGCCCTCCGTGTTTGCAACCTATCAACCGCCACCCAACTCTCCTCTCTCCACTGTGCCAGTCCCAAAAACTGATGATGAGCCCACGAAACTCACCAATGCACTCTTACCACCTACATCACAAAGCACACTTCCGCAGCAAGACACAAACGCAGATTTGCAGCCATCTGAACCCAGCAAAAAATGGCGAATACTAAAACGAGTAAAAACCAGTCCAACTCTCTGCACTCAGGGCGAACAAATTTTCCAGAGTGCCTTACCGGTGTCCGGCTAACCCAAAAATTGTTTCGAACTAATCCTATAAAAACGCCTACGAATTAATCTTTTGCCCATGATTGGCTATCTATCGTACACAAAAGTTCATGGTTAACACGCTCTCCATTCTAGCTTCTTCTTCGGCTATTCTCGCCACTGATTGTTGCTTGCAAGAAATTTTTAGCATTGTTCATCCACATCTTTTGTCCCGATCGTTACAAATGTCCTCAATACGTGCCTTTGTATAAATGTCCATTATCTATCTAACATAAATGTGCTACTCACTCATTTTATCTAATACTACGTCAAACACATCTGTTAAAGCAGCACACAAGTTCGTTCATTGCCACCAGATTGTTGCGAATTTTACTGTTACAAGTCAACTTCGATATCTTACATTCGAGCGATGAAGTTGAAATTTCACTGCTGAATTCAGAGTTATTTGAGCATGTTCCATGAAAATATGCTTTAATGGCTCACTATNAGGATTTACTCTTTGAGATGATGGCTATGAACGTGCTGATGGCTGTTTGTGCTGGCTATACGAGGTGTTATTGCGTACAAATTATGATTCTGTGATGTTTCTCTTCGACCATTTCTGCGAGAGAGGAATCCAATTGAACGATACGGGTGAATTGTCTATGTATGGGTCATCTAGGTGTATATATGTTGATATTGATTTTAAGAGTTTCATTTTTGAGTGTATTACATTCGTTGTTAAATTGGTTGAGTCTTACTTTGATTTCAGTTCGTTTCCGTTTCTAACGCTTTTATTCTGTAGTGTCTGTTGCAAAATTCGGCTATGCTTTCAGGAAGTTTTGCTGCTATTGCTTCATACTGTGACTGAGACTTGTTCGTTGGTCTGAGATTTGAGGCGATTAGCGAGCGAAACTCTCGAGCATCTACAGAATAATGAATTGTTGACGTGATTGTGTAAAGTTGTTCTGATCTAGGTTCGACATTGTTTTTGCACGAACAAATAAACGAAAAAAAAAGCGAAACAAAAAACTGATTTATAATTTGACAGTTGAATTTTGATTATTATAATATTTTCACTGATTATCGTTATTCAATTTTGATCATTATTATTATTATTATTATTATTTTCCAATAAAATTTATTGTCGCATTTTGCTTCAGCCATTCGGATTGATCCACTATTGATGCATTCCATTTGCTCGAAATTTCAGTAAAATTTAGGTGTTCGACTTCCAGAACACTGGAATTTACATCCATCAGCAATAAAACGGTAGTGGCTAGGTATCTTCCACCTTAAAAAACATACGATCAAACATTTGTTATTGATAGCTGACGGTTTGAAGTCATGGTGGGCAGTGGCTACGATCCAGGAATGAAATGTCGACTTAAAGCTTAGGAGGATAAGCAGTCAACCTCGGAATTCGAAGTGATTACAGGATAAACCATTGAAGAGTTGGTTGTGTCTGCTCTTCAGAAGAACTAGGCTTGAACTTGAAAAGCAGTAAA